TAACATATCAAATGAACCCGTAGGTTATTCTTGCCCGATTTGATTTTAGGACTGAGGGCGTGGGGTTTAAGACTCTAGCAAGATGAGGGCTTCTCATCGGGAAAAATGGTCTCTACCTGGACTCTATCTATCTCACGAGAACTTTGCGGCCTCACATTCCCCCAAGCACCAGTACAAGAATTCATTTGCCGATGTACAGCCGCTAGACATCCGAAGCCCCAACCCTCGTCTTCAAACACCACCCGCCAACACCCTCATCTAACCCTTCAACACTCAACCCTAAGCCCTCAACCCTACTCAATCCGAAATTTCCTGACAAGGTCTTTGAAGAAGTTGCGCTTGGTCAAACAAGCTTCCAGGCTGTTGCCAGGGTTTCCAAATTAGGGTTTAGGGTTTACGGCCCCAAGGTCACTTAGGGGGTCACTTGGGGACCCTTGCGATGTATGGGGATCAGGATGATCACGATGGGATTATGGGGATACCGCCATCTTTATTAAGACATCTACGAAAGAATACTTCTACACATGATCCCCTGCGCCTACCCATTCAACCGCCCCTCTGTGCTGTTTTCAGGGGTTCAGACTGCAATAAAATGAACAACTCTAACGGACCAATCATTTTGTTCAAAAGAGGGTTCCCCCACTGTTGCAAGGACCTATCCCCCTAGCCATGCACCTGGGAAACGACGGGTGAACAATGGGTGTTGAAGGCGAGTGAGCGGCAACCGGACCTTTTCCTGGCACGTATATACATATATAATCATACATACATATATGTATATATGTATATGTATAACATATATATATATATATACAGCTACATATACACACGCCAACTTTCCATCTACCTTCTGTTATACCCGAAATTAGGGATTATGTATCCCTCTTCAATGGTACCTGGATGTTCCAGATGCGCATATATATATATATACATATATATATATACACATATATGCACACACTTATCTACCATGGTATCCCAAACTCGGGCTTGCAAAGCACCAAACTCATGCACGCCCGCCCGAGACATTCTGTGAGCCCTTTTCATTTGAACGTCGTCTAGATCTGTTAGACGTCTGAAAAACACATGCATGCTAGTCTCAGAAGCATTACTCATTACACGGACCCATGCCCATACCTCCGAAAGGATTCAAACCTAAACCCTCTAAACCCTAAACCCAAAGCCTTCAGATTTACTCCCCAGTTTCCACAGTCATGTAGTAACGGCCCTAAACCCAAAGCCTTCAGATTTCCGGAGCACTCCCCAGTTTCCACAGTCATGTAGTAACTGGGTCATGTTTTGCCAGGTCTTACGGTTTAGGATTTAGGCTTTGGGTTTAGGGCATCCTTTGCTTAAATGATCTTTTGATTTCGTATATTTACCTGCCATCCCTATTCGCCCATGGCCCCCTATTACTGAGTAGGGGTCGGGGTTTCCCAGAATCAGGGGTACATACCGTTTTGGGGTTCCCCGTCATAAGGATTATAGTATTTGGGGGTCCATGTTGGGGTCTTCTCAGTTCATGGAAACTACCATATTATCCTAAACCCTAAATCCTGAACCGCTGTTAAGTAGACTTACTAAGTCAAGAGGATCTTCAGGTAGGGGGTCTTGAGTCCGTAGGTCTGAGCCCTCTGGAAGGTCTAAACCCCAGGCCCCTGAATCCGAAACTCCTACACCTTACGCCTAGATCCTAATCCCTGAGCCCTAAACCGGCTAAATCGTAACCGAACACCCCAAATCCCTCAAAGTCCTAAATCCTGAGTCCCTAAGCCCATCAATTCTGAAACCTAAATCCCGAAACTCTTAAATCCTAAGCCCTGAATCCCTAAGCCCCCCCCCCAATCCTCAGCCCTAAATCCGTAAACCTAATCCCCTAAACCCCCTAAATCCCTAGGCTCCCCAAATCCGAAACCCTAATCCCCTAAACACCCCAAATCTTAAGCGCCTACGTCCCTAAACCTCAAGCTCTTAACTTACGGCTGCTTAGGGGGCACTGGGGGAGTGAATATAGGGACCCTTACCGGGATATATGTGGGGATTATAGGGTTTAGGGTTTAGGGATTATAGGGTTTAGGGTTTAGGGTTTAGAAGACGCCGAACTTAAACCCCAAACCCTAAGCCCTCAAAACCCTATATCTTAAAGCTCCATTAGGCACCAGTAAGTGAATGTGGCAGGCCTTCGAAGCCCAGATGGAAGCCCTTGCCAAGTGGTACCTCAGACCGATATGGGGTGTCCTTAAATTCAGGGGTTTAGGGTTCATTGGGTTTTGGGGCTCTAGGGTTTGTAGGGTTCAGGGTTTATAGGGTTTAGGGTTTACGATGTTTCGGCTTTCGGTTTTTCTGAGTTTTCAGGGTTGAGGGCCTTTTTGCGGGTCCCTATAATAAGGACTGTAGCATTTTGGCGTCTATTTCAAAATCCCCCATTGTTATGGAATCTGCCCTATGAAGTTCCTCAACATGTGGAGTTTCTTCACGTAAGGGTGCCCCAAGGGCCCTGCGTAGATTTATATATTTACACGGGTATATATGCGCATATATATACCCTACAGGTCCAAAAGAA